CGTACGACGTGAGGGCCCGGCGGGCGGGGAGAGAGGGGGCGGCGGGGGGCATGTGTGGACGTTTGCCTTGGGCGGGCCCTCTCTCGCTCACACACGCACAATCACACACGCCTATCGTCTTACACACATTCACCCCTCCTCGTCCCCCATACATCGCCCCTGGCCCCCCAGATCGGCTTTGCTGGGCTTGACCACGTGTTCAGCACCGGGGAGGACGTCAACATCCTGGTGCTGGACACTGAGGAGTACTCCAACACAGGGGGCCAGAAGGTGGGACGGATGATGTATTTTTTGTGTTTGAGTGTGTGTGGGGGGGGGGGGGGCGGGCCGTGTGAGTTTTGTGTGGGTGCAGTTTTGGTGTAGGCGTGCGTAGTCTTGTGGGGGTGAGAGCGAGTTTTGTGTGTGGCTGTGCCAGTGTGAGTGAGAGTGTATGTTTAGGGAAGGGCGGGGAGAATAGGTTGGTTGGTCACTTGGTTTACTGATCTGAGGCGCAGTGATTGAGGGTCTGAGGGCGGTGAAGGAGCGCTGGGCCACTGGGCTGCCGCGCACAAGCCCGGCCGCCCCCACGGCAGCTGGGCCGCTCGGCCTGCAAACTCCCCAGCCCCACCGGGCGCCGCGGTCCCCTCATCCTCACTGTCCGCTGCTGCTCTGCTGCGTCCCCGCTCCCCCCCACCCCAGTCCAAGTCCACCCCGCTGGGCGCCGTGGTGAAGTTTGCTGCGGGCGGCAAGGCGCGGCCCAAGAAGGAGCTGACCCAGATGGCCATGATGTACCCCGACACGTACGTGGCCAGCGTCTGCCTCGAGGCCAACTACAACCAGGTGCGCGCGTGTGCGCGCGTGCGTGTGTGTGTGTGTGTTGGTGTGCACGCTCGTGTGTGTGTGTGTGCAGGTGTGTGTGTGTGCAGGTGTGTGTGTGTGCAGGTGTGTGTGTGTGCAGGTGTGTGTGCGTGTGTGTGTATGTGCAGGTGTGCATGCGTGTGTGTGTGTGTGTGTAGTGGGTAGGAGAGACAGGGGCCTGGCTCTCGGCACCACGGGGGTGAGGCGTGCTGGCACGAGGAAGGGGGCCGGGGGCGGTTATGGAGGGGTCGCGGCATTGCTTGCTGGGCGTGGGGCCGAGAATCGGATGGTTGGGGTTCGGGAGGAGGCGGCAGGTGGCAGGAGCAAGTAATTGTTAAATTTTTCTAGGTGGCGGGCAAAAAAGTCTGTGAGCTTCGTGAGTCACGGCGACGACGACTCACCAACACACGCCACTCCCCCCCTCCTTCCCCTGTCGCCGCAGGTTGTCAAGGCGATGACCGAGGCGGAGGCGCACCCCGGCGTGTCGCTGGTGGTGGCCTACGCCCCCTGCGCCCTGCAGGGCCCCGAGGGCGGCATGAGCAAGTCCCAGACGGTGAGAGTGCGCCCCTCGCCTGCACCCAACGACGAGCCGCCAGCCCACCCAGCCAGGCTCTGCGCCCGGCGGGCGCGGCCGAAAGACCCGGGTGCACCCGTGCTGCGCGTGGCACGACGTTTTGAACCCGCCATGCTGCAGCCGCCACTGCCGCTCACCTTGCTCAACCGAAACGGACCCCGCCCTGCAGGACGCCCGCATGGCCGTCGAGACCGGCTACTGGCCGCTCTTCCGCTACCAGCCCGCGCCCCACGTCGCGGGCGGCAACGGCGACGGCGGGGAGGCGCCGCGGGCGCAGCTGGTGCTGGACAGCAAGAAGCTCAAGCCGGGGCTGGAGGAGTTCCTGGACCGCGAGAACAGGTGTTGGGGGGGGGGCCGTCGTTCCGGCTCTGGCTGTGGCTCTGCCTGTGGCTCTGGTTGATGCTTTGGCTGTCGCTATGGCTCTGGTGTGGTTGTCACTGTCGCTGTGGCTCTGGCGGTGGCTGTGGCTGTGGCAGTGGCGCCCTGACGCGGCCTTGCAGCGAAGCGATCGCCCGGCCGCGCCCGCATGTTGGGATGTCCCTGAAGGGGCGAAGGCGGTGGCCGTTTGCAGGCGCGTCGGTCCCCGCCCGCCGCCTGCCGGGGCCGCGCCCGCCCCTCCTGCGGCGCCCGCCGCTCGCACACCCCTCAAAGCCAGCCCCTCCCCAAACCCTCCCCCTTGGCACTGCCTCCCCCAAAATCAAACCAAAGGTTCACCATCCTGACGCGCAAGGACCCCGCGGCGGCTGATGAGTTGCACCACCAGCTCGACGACGCCATCCACGCGCGCCACGAGAGGCTGACCAGGATGGCAGCAGAGTCAAAGAAGGCCGCCCCGCAGCCGCCGCCCGCGGCGCCCGAGCAGCAGTAGAGGCCGAGCGGCGCGGCCCGGCGGCGCGTCGCGGCCGCGGCGGGGAGGGTTGGGGATCGGGAGGGACCGCCCGTGTTTGGAGGCGCGGGGCGGCGATCTGCACAGCAGCAGGGACGAGGCGGCGACAGGAGGGGGGGCAGGGGCCGTGGACGACGCAGCGGAGGCTTGGATGAGGCCACCCCGTTGGGTGGAGGCGTGCCGGCGTGTATGAGCGGCGCAGGCGCGTGCGAGCCTCGCCGTCGGAGGTTTCCTGTGTGTTGCGTGCTGCTCGTTTGCATGCAAGACGGCCCGAGGTCCCCCGCTGCTTTGGCTGCAGTTCACCGCATTTGAATGCATTCCCCGGATGCATTGTTCCAACGAATTAGCTTCATTCTTTGCCCCATTTGCCGCTGCTTTGCACGCGAGCGGGTCGCACACGCAATTGAGGCCGGCGCTTGGGGCAGCTGACACCCCCAGGGGCCGGCCTGTATGTTACCCTGTTTCCCAGAGGGCGGCCGTGCGTCAGCGCGCCGCCCGAGGCTCACACAACCCTTGGTGCCACTGGTTCATTTTGCTTGCTTGATGCCAACCCACGAACTTGGCACTGTGGCGCCCGCTTTGCAAGAACCCCCGCCCTCGCCGCCCCCAGCTGGAAAGCTGCCCCGGGCCGCGCCACCCGCCGCACACGCGCTGGGCGTGCGGGCGTGGCTCCGGAGCGCTGGTGGGTGTGCGTGGGCGGCGGCATTCACTCAAGGCATACAACATTTGTCCAGACCCATGAGCACGCACTTGCTCAAACCTTGCGCACACACTACTGTTGATGTTTGGGCTGCATGCGTGATTTTGCAACGACCATCTCAAAGTTGGCACGGCCCGGCGGCGGCCGGCGCTGGAGTGAAGCGGGGGTGCACAGGTTTGAAAGGCCGGCGAGGTAGGGGAGAATGGAAGCTGCAGGCAGCTGACCGCTGAGGAAGACACTGTCTTGGAAAGGGATGCGTCGCTGCCAGGGGGCCGCGGGTGTCACCCCTGTCATGGCGACGGCCCGGCTTTGCCCAGAGGGCATCGCCAGCTCTGCCACGGCTGCTCCCCAGGCCGAAGGACTGAGTCGCCGGCAGGGAAAAGCGCCAGCCCGTGCCCCACAGCGGGTGTCCCTGTCCAATCGGTCCTGGTGAGTCGCAGGGTTACATACAACAGTGGGGCTCGCGAGACCGCGCACGGGTCGACCTCTTTGTCCCCCGCCTGCGTGCGCCTCGCGCTCCCCGCGGCGGTCCTCGCCGCGACCACGCCCCGACAACCGCGGGTCGCACCGACTCGGCGCACACGCGCCGCCGGGCACCAGGCCAAAAGCACCAGCTCTGCGGCGGCGGCTGCCGCGGCGGCGGCGGGCGGATTCCCGCGCGGCCGAAGGGGCGGCGGTCCGAGGAGCGCGCTCAGCGCTTGACCCACGCGAACGCCTTGCGCGCCTTGGGGCGGCCGGGCTTCTTGCGCTCCACCATGCGCCTGTCGCGCTTCAGCGCGCCCGCGCGCTTCAGCTGCGCGCGGTAGGCCGCGGGGTCAAAATTCTGCAGCGCGCGCGCAATGCCGTGCGCCGACGCCTGCGCCTGCCCCGAGCGGCCGCCGCCGTCAACCTGCAGGGGTGGGGGAGAGACGGGGCGGGACCGGGGCGTGGTAAGCGCTTGGACGAAAGGGGTGCGTGCTGAGGGCCGGCGACTGGACTCGCACGCGTGGGCGTTGGCACCACGCCGCAAGCAGCAACCTGGTGGACTGCACACAGCGCATCCACGGGGGCCCGGTCCGCGGAGGCTCGCCGCGGCGCCCTGCATGCGGTCGACGCCCCCAGGACGGCGCGCCCCGCCCCGTCCGGCCCTCTGCCACCCGGTGGACCCGCCTTGATGGCTACGTTGAAGCGCCCCAGCGCGCCCGTCATCATCAGCGGCTTCAGCAGCGCCGCGCGCTGCAGCACGTCCGGGAAGTAGCGGTCAAACGGCTGCCGGTTGACCAGCACGCGGCCCGCGCCCTCCCATATGAAGACCTGCGGGGCGCGCGGGGGGCGCGGGGGACGCGCGCATTGCGGGGG